GACAGAAACTAAGATATAATTAACAGTGTGCTCATGATGAATATATGAGTATTCTTATGCAGCTAATACAAGACAGAGGAACCATTTGGATCTAGCTAGAGCATAATGTTGTTGATATAATTAGATTAATCGAGAATTTTATTGAACTTTATATTTAATAATTTTAGATTATAACAAAAAGAAAACCTATACTTAAAATAATGTTAGAAAAACAAAAAACATAATTATTTAATATATTTATACGTATATCAAAATTCAAACATTTAAATCTTAATTCATATATTAATTTTCAAATATTTTAATAAGAGTATAAATAAAAGCACATAAGTCCTTACATCATTAGTGCAGAGACAAGTTCCAATATATGACCATGGAAGTGTTAAGTTCTAATCAATAATAATTGAGATTAACATATTCCTAAGATAAGATTTGTTGTTGTCACATACCAAGACACTGAATTAAGCCCTTAATTGCTAATTTACTATACGTGGAGTAGTGCTTCCATTAGTTTTTTTTTTCACGAAGAGCACTAATTAATTAAACTGTATTTATTATCAGACAAGTGTAACTTTAGTAACTGAACAAATTGGATTCCAATGTAATATACTATAGATTAGCCTTTTTGGAGGCATAATTACTTTTGTCAATTAAGATTAGTGGCAAACATATATATGATCACTATCAACCACCAACAATTTCAATTGGCAATTGCAACATTTTATTTATTATATTCATCGTTAGTTATATATATATATGATGCTCTTAAATTATAGTATAATCTCCTTTTACTGCTGATAGGATTGTATATAATTAATAAAGTCACTTTGCAGTTTGTAGTCATCAAACAAGTAAAAAGGTAAAGACAAAATGACAAAAATGGCCCTTTCTATATGTTTGGAAGTAGAATTCAAAATAATCTCTTAATATATGCACTAAACTGTTTTGGACCCTATGAGTTCATCAAAAATTAATATTATTAATTAATTTCTACTTTGATTGATTCGGTTAGATTTTATATATTGTTAATTTAGTTTTAAAATTTTTAAATATGGTGAAACTATGATCAAATCAATAAGATTTTTTCTTGTCGATTTTTGATTTATCGACTATTGAGCCTTAATGATTTAATTTTGGATTAACTAATAAGAAAATGTTCATAATATAAATATATAACTTCTCCAATAATTTGACACAACAGAGCAATATATACCTTACATAATGCTCATAAAATAAAAATATTAACAAGTACAATATGAAAAAAAATTATACAAGTGCAACATAAATTAAAAATTTATGATGAGTTGAAGACTAAAAAGTAAAGATTACGGTAACCAATAAGGTATTGATTATTGATATTTAATATTTATGTCGGGATAAAAGAGTAAATTATCATAACCCAATACTAAAAACTAAAAACAAAATCGATAATTTTTAATTTTTATAAAATTGTTAAAAATTCGCCAACTAATAACCTAATAATAACAAATCAATAATATTTTTTTTTGCAGCTTAATTTATTGATTGATTTGATTTTTACCCCCCTCTATTGTTAAATATTTAAAAACTTTGAATGTTAATAACATATAAAATCTTAGTAGTTCATCAATTTATTAATTATATAAACTTTACCTTATTGACGAGGATTCGATTCTTGTGAAGGGGAAGGAGACAAATAGCGCTATCAAACAAGGTGTTTGAAGAATCTAAGAGAGGACCACTCACTAATAATAAGGTCCAGAATGCCCACTAATAATGCCTCACAACTGTTCTTTTTCAACATATGTCTATGGACCGGGTCGACATTTTATTTATATTCTTTCCCAATCACTTCTTCAATTTTTTTAAAAAAAGTTTGTTTGGATTAGCTTAAAAGTCGATCAAATATATTTTTAAGTCAGTTTTTGATTTGACAAATACTCAAAATAACTTAAAATAAATCAGAAATCAAAAGCAAGTCTCCCCTATTTTTTGTTTTTTTACTTAAAAGTCAATTTAATTTGACTTTTATTTTTGACTTAAAAACTCTTTTAAGTCAATTTAAACGGGTTCTAAATATTCATTCTTAATTATCAATCGTATCAGTAGTTTAAGTCTATTAATTTGTTTTGTATATATTGTGTTTGATTATGTTATATCGATTTACTCTTTATTAAAACGAATTTATTTCAATTTATAAAATCTTAAAAGTTAAACTAAATCATTTAAAGTGAAACGAAAAGAGTATCGAGCGAAAGAAATTAAACGAAAAGGGAGTGGATTTTTCCCCCCAAAAAGTTGTCCATCATATAAAGTAAAAGAAGTAAGAAAAAAAAAGTAGGGAGATGATGATTCATGAAATTAAGGAATTGCTTTCATGACGTAGTGTACTTTAATTATAAAACTACTACTAATAAATTAGTGGAATTTGCTTACACAACTTTACTTTTCAACTAATTCTTTCATCATCCTTCTATGATACATTCTCAATTAATTATCATATACTATATAGTTCTTCATATATGTGCTGATGAAATGATGTAGGACTTAGTTTCCAACAAGACCTAGATTTCCCTTTTTCTTTTTTTTCCTTATTAAGCCTAATCTTTTATTAATCGCGAAACACCAATTTCATGAAACAAAACGTTAGTAAGTTGCTATATCACGTCTATGGTTCAAAATCGAAACTATTTAATTATTAAAGTAAAATTAATTTTCACCCTAAAACGAATATATACGTATTAGAAGACATATGGTGCTGTCAATTTTAATTTAATTCCAAGTTAAAAGGACTATAGGTTAAAAAAAAAATAGGTTAAAGTATGAGCAAGTGTGAACTAGTGAGACTTTATTGACTTATAGTGAATCTGACATACATAATTTAATTTAATTAAAGTATAGCAGAGGCCAGTGTGTCAGCATTCACCGCACGAACACATACACTTAACCATTTTTTATTTTATTTTTACTGTATCTTTATTTTATTTTTATTGGCTTTTGGACCTTAGTGTATATGACAGACAGGTTTGAAATTGAGCTTCTACCTTGTGATGATGATTCAAATGGTTATTCAAGGTGGTAAATCATTTATTCATAAACGTATCTGATTAAAATTAAATACTATAATTTATTTTAAATATATTAAATTTAAATAATTTTATGTATATTTGAAATATATAGATAAATTTTATTCGCCTCTCTCACCTACCTTTTATTTTATTTGTCATTCTCTTATGTATATGGGGTATCACAGATACATGTATCTACTGTGGTTCACATATGTTTGGGAGGCATGAATATCTTGCTCGTCACTCTCTTATGTATATGACATCTTGTAAACATGCGAATCACACTACATATACAAATACATATATTTAGTGTGATTATATATATATCTGAAATACATGATTATTCGCTCGCTTCCATTTCTATTTTAGTTATTTGAATAGAAATTCTTAATTTATGATAATAAAAAAAATATGTAATTAATATATTATACGGACATATATCTAATAAATAGAGAAAATTGTCACAATTATTTTCTTTTATTTTAATTTATTTATGATTATTTAAACCTTATCGAACCCCGTTCCATGCGTTTGTTTATCCAAGAGAGTTAGCACCAATGCTTTACTTCTTAAATATTCTTCTTTCAGAAAAAAGAAAGATTAAATTGTTGGTTCTTCTATGGTTCATTAATACTTATATACTTACTTTAATTATATAAAGGAGTTTATGATATGGTCCCCTCAATTATTTACTGATTCTAATTTTTGTGATACCTTGCTCACCACAACCAGTCTTCCTTTGTCCTAGACAAAAATTCAAAAATAAAGTAGACATTCCAAAAACAAATAACTTAGTAATTATTTTTCTTTCTTCTAGAAAATTATTTGTACACTAATTAAACTCCGTCATTTGTCTAACCAAGAGAGTTGGCAACACTGCTTGAAGTCTAAAAGGTGACATGTGATCGTCGATAAAACTAAATCAGCAACTTTGAGATTGAGTATGGCTTTGTGTTGTACTCGATAAGGTTAGATCTATTTTTTTGTAATTTAAGATAACGATGCAGATAAATTTAGTTTAAAGAATTTATTGATAGTTAATCTAAAGATCTACATTCTCTACCGCAATGTTACTTAACAATTCATAGGCCCTTAATTCCCTATTACAAATTCAATTGTTATCTCGAATCACCAACTTATAAACACTTTGGTTGCTTGAATAAATTTTTGGAAAAAGAAATGAAATTGATGTTTCTTGTATTATTTTTATGTACTTTTATGTTTTCAATATTAAAAGAAGACTATGATCTGGTCCCCTCAATTATTGACATATTCTAATTTTAATAATAACTTGTTCACGATCCTCTTTTTTCCTTCCACAATGTACTAGACAACTCAAATAAAAAAAAAACAATACAAGAAATCCGTTTTAAAAAAAAAATAGCAGAACTTATTATAAAAAAACCACACTACTTGTTGATTTGTTTATATATCCTTCATTTACTTTTTAATTTAATTATACATAAAAGAAGAAAATGTTCTAGCTCGCTCAATTATTGATAAGACTAATTTTTCTCACCCTCAATTTCAACAAATCAATTACGTATAAGCAAATTTTATTTTTTTCTCATAGAAATAGAGAGATTTGTTTATTTCTAATAACTCACTGGAAAGGAAGAATATAAATAACAAGAAATTAAATAAGAAAAAGGACCTTGTAATACATTTTAATTATAATAATAAGGCTAAGAAATGACAATAATAAGGGTAATACCATTTTTATATTCCCAACTGGCTTTACTTTAGATGGGGTTCTCATTGCTGGCCTGCCCCAATCACAGGGACAACAGGTATCACACCACTCACCAGGGAATCTCATAGTAACTAAAACCACATGACCAAAATTATTTCTTATTTTTTTCTTCGAAATCACAATTTTAATATAATTCCATAAATAAATTATCCGATAGATCTTCAACTCAATAAAAAAGGTACTCAACTCAAAAATAATCTGGGTTCTTCAAAAAAAACCTGCAATTTCTTTTTGAGATTTTATACTAATAAAAACAATTGAATACATAGTACTAGTAGAAGTAATTAAAATGGCTGCATACAAATTATTAACTGAAACCTTGCAAAACTCAGCCCAGAATTTCTTTTTGTAGAGAGAGAAATATATTTATATCATCATCATCATCATTCATCATGCAGATCTTACTCTTAACAACATGTATATACATATACATATTATATAGCAGCTTTGATATGCATTTTTTTGGTGTGTGTGTGGGTAACGTACTGATTAACCACATCACGTTTGATTCATGATCCATACATGGCGTCTACTAAAAATTTCCACTACCTAAACGGCGGCGACAGTCTCGCTTGTGGCGGAAACGTCAGATCCCTTCCCGCCGGCTACGGCGGCAGCGACGGAGTTCTTCATGTAGTCCTTTCTAGATGCAACCAACGAACACTTGTCCTTCTTCTCATCTAGATTCATCTGCTGCTGTCTACACTCTAGACTGCAAAAAGCACTATCTCCTCTGCAAAATTCGACAATTCAAACGAATGATGGTTTATGTAAATTGACTGTCGAAGAGTAGGATTATTAGCAAAACTAAAAATTCGTACCTGTACATGTAGATATCCCGGCCAGGGATTAACCGGCGTTTACAGAGGAAGCAAGCTTTCAAAAAATTAGCAGTTTCTAGAAAATCAGCAGATTTACGGCGGTTTCTGACGGAAACGGTTTTCGCTGCTGTCAATAAACGTTGTTGATCTAGGTGTTGCTGCTGGGTGTTTGCAGGTGAAAAAGGATTGTGAGGATCGAATGGATTATTGTAATTACTAAGAGAAGAATTAGGGTCAGGATTATTGAGATTGAGATCTAAAGTGAATTCTGTCATACTTGTTGTTCTCTTCATCGGTGGCCGAGTCCTCTTCCCCAGCAACATTTTTTTCTTCTTCGATTTACAGAGAGAGCGAACAGAGGAAGAAGAAGAAGAAGAGTGAGAGTGGGGAAGATGTGTTGGGAAGATAAAGAAGAGAGCTAAAGCGCAAGGAGAGAATCTCCACCCTTGATTGTGTATTATTTCATCAAATATTTTATAAATTGAAATAATTTTTACTATTTCATTTTCTCAGATTCCATCTCGTTCGTTACTCTTCGTCGTTTTATTTGGAACAAATTATACTAATATTTATGATATTAATAAAATATTTATAATATTGATTTATCAAATATAAACGACTTATTTTAATTTAACTTTTTAAAATAAATAACTTCTTTTTTATTATATTTATTGTTTCAAATAATCATAAATATTTGTTTAGCTATACATATAATTATCTCAATAAGATTTAAAACAAAAAAAATTAAAATTATGTTACTTTTAAATTATTCTGAAAATTATTTAATCTTAATATACTATTTCCTTTCAAATAAATGTCATTTTAAAAATAATTATATTACTTGAAATATTCAAGACAGTATATTTTTTCAATTATAGATTTTATTTATTTCAAGAGATATTTATTAAATAATAATATAACTACTAAAATTATATTTATTAAAATTTTAAAATGTAAATGTTTATTTGAAACAGAAGATTTTCATACAATTAGCGTCACATAGTACGACTTTTTGATACACACCACTAATATAAAAAAGTCCATTCATTTTTAATGAATGAGAAAATGAAAAGATACGTGTACTTTAACTTTCATTATGACTCAATTAAAAAGTGTAACTGAATATTAATATATTTATATGGAGTTTTAAATTTTGTGCTAGACAAAGCTCTTTTACATAAAGTGAAATGGAAATGGCCGAAATATGTAATTTTTATTTTAAAGTTTTAGTTTCACTCGATTAAAGTAAAAAAAAATAAAAAATGAACAGCAAATATTCATCATTAATATATTTGGAAAAGAAATGAGAATCAGATGTGATTGGTCATACATCCTTAAAATTAAACAGAAAATCAACTGATTTTTTCTACGAAAAAGTTTTGAATATATGTTATATACATTGAGGTTTTATGGGATTCTTTAAACGAGTTTTATTTCATAAATTCATGAAATATTAGTAAAAAGATCGAGATATAACCTAGTACAGTAGTACTACTATGAATGAAATATTTTTATTTCTTCGTATATTTTTTTTATTATTGCAATTTATTTGTCGGTTATATTTAAAATTCGTTGCAATTTGCAGACATATATATAATATACTCTTCCACCAACTATTATACAAATTAGATGTATCGTATACATATATTTTTAATACATACTAATAATCCATATTAAGATAGAAACTTTGTTTTTCATCTAAGATCAATTTTTTTTCTTTTCAAAAGAAAAATATTTTTATGAATCATGGGTTTGGACAGCACAATAATTCTTGAAATAAAATATTAAATGAACCCATCATATATTAATTTCGATTTGACATAATATAAATGGAGAAATAGTTTTTGATTTGATTGTTACATAGTAATTCGTAGAAATTTTCCATTGTCAATTAATCATCTCATTAATACAATCCAAATGTCAATTCTACTCTGCCTTAATTATCAAACTGGTTTGTTGCAAAATTAGAAAATAATTGTATTTGTAATTAAGTTACCAAAGAAAATAAATCATCACACTAATAATAATTAGATTGGGACACTTAAGCAGTTAAAATGGTCCATTAAGAAATCAAGTTATTCAACTGTCCACTATTAATTGTCATACTTTTTATTTTTAGAGTCAAACTTTAAAACTTTGACCTATATTTTAGGATATATTTTTTCATCATATTGATATGTAAAAATTGCAATATACAATACTTTTTATATATTTTTTGAATATCTAATTTTTTTGTTTAAAAATTAAATTAATGTAATCTAATTTAATTTTGAAAATAAGCCAAATTGACTTATGAAAAATATAAATAAAAGTGAACAGAGTAATACTTTTCGAAATCTTTGCTGTAAACATGGTTTAGATTTTGTAAATAAGAATATATAACTTAATTATCTATTTGTTAAAGTTTATAAAATTTAAATTTTGTAAATGATTTGGTTTAAGGAAGAAAAAAACAGCTTAGTCAGCATCCCATGAAATGGGCCCCATAAATGTGCCATTATTAGAAGGGAGAGATTCAATGGGTATTTGGTGAAACAGTCCCACTCAATGAATTCGTTTGTCCCTCTTCCCAAAATCTTAACCCCACAATTTCATATTCTACTTTTTTTTTACCGTTTTAAAATTATTTGTTATTTAATTTGATACGAATTTTTTTAAAAAAATTTTAAGGTTATAAATCAATGATATGTCAAATATAGTGAAAAATAATACGATTTTCGTTCCATTTTATTTGAAGTACTTTGATTCAACATTGAGTTTATAAAAGAAAGGAAATTTTTTAAAATTTATTGTCTAAATGAACGATAAGAATTTGTGTGACAATAAATTATTTTATTTAAAGTTTTTATTAAAGATAAAAATGGATATTCTAAAGTTAAATTGTTATTTAATATAAAAATGTGTTAAATTTTGTTTAACAATGACTAAAAAAAAAAAGTCATATAAATTGATATTAGAGTAGATAGAAAGTTAAAATTTTAAAGTTACAAAAAAGGAAAATAACATTCTTTTTTTTAAAAAAATGAGTATTAAAAAGAAAAAGTAGGATAAATAAATTAAACTACTTTTTTACATATTTTCTGTTAATCTATTTATTCTCCTTTTATGTAAGAGTACGTGAATACTACATCAAAAATGATCTTTAATAGTAAATAGTAGATATATAATTATCGCTAAAAACATTAAACCTAATACAATTAACTAATTTCACTATATATTTCAACATTTATACATATTTATTACCGCTAAAATAATTTTGAAATCTGTGGATTTACATTATCCTATATTTTTACCATTAGTTTAAAGGAAAAATGAAAAAACAAAAAAAAGAGTTGAAAGGGAAAAACAATATAACACTCCTAGAATATTGAAAGTATGTAATATAAAAAGAGTTGAAAGGGAAAAATAAAATAACACTCCTAGAACATTGAAAGTTTGTAATATATATATATATATATATATATATATATTAGGTACTGTTTGGTCCAATTGTTCACACCTTTAGCACTATCTTCATTCTTTCATCTTATTAAATCGTTCATTTTTATCGAGTATAATCCAAATTTAAAAATAATAATATCGTAATATTTATAATAGATAATTAAATATAAGTATTCTAAAAAACCTAACAACAATATTTCTTAAAAAATAGAATTCAATAAGCATTTAATCTAAACGATAAAAACTTATCCTAAAAGGAGCAAGTTTTTTTTTGGGAACATTTAACTAAAGATGGCAAACTAAAATAATATAATTATATGATAAATTTGTGTAAAAGCATAAAAAACTCTATTTTATCTGCCTCCTCCTATCACCAAATTTTTATTTAGATTATTGGTCTGAGGTAAATCTTTGAACACTAGATTGAAGGAATACATAATAGATTTGGGAGTCTCAAAGAGCGTTCACAAGTTGGCCAATTGGATAATAAAAGAATTTATGAGTTGGAATATATAAGGGTAATAATTATTACTTTAATTTATTCTTTATTTGATTCTCTTTCTTGGGAATTTTAAACAATTCCTTCTTTATTTTCATTATGAATTATAATCAAAGTCATGTTCTTATTTATTTTTTAACCCAAACTTTTGTGTGTGTCATGTTCCTTCCAGACATATCATGAACATAAACTTATAAATAATTATGGTGCACCTTTGCCGTGTCAATTAGGGTTTAAAATTTACATTGTAGCTCTTTTTAATAAATATAATTTATAAATATTAATTTTTTCTAAAGTGAAATTTGGATTAGAACTATTTAACGAATGTTATCGTACTTCTAATATATTTTACTCTACACCCGGCTCTAACCATTAACTATGAGAGTTTTACTATATTAAAAATAATCTTTAGCGATCATTAATTAATAATAATATCTTAATTATTATTAACTATATATTTTTAAAAGTAATTAACACTCTTTGTATATGTTTTAAAAATCTATATCAACATTAGATCTAACGATAATTAACAAATGTCGGTTAGATTTTAACACGCTTTATTATTAATAAGTATTCCTTCTGTTCCTTTTACTTGTCAACTTTTGACTTGACACACTTATTAAGAAAATATTAATTGATATATTGAGTTTATCATTTTACCTCTATAACTGATAGAATCTCAAATATCTTTATTCACTTTATTTTTCAAAGACATTAACTTAAAATTAATAAATTAACTATATAATAGGTAAAAAAATATTCTTTCATGATTTGTCAAAAATAATGAATAAAAAGAAAAAAATTGAATAAAGTAAAAAGAAACAAAGAAAATATACTTATGGCTAAAAAAAAGTTTTTGTTGCTGTGTTTGTTGCTTCATTAACAATCATCTATTAATATTTTGTACGTGCTGATCTATTAAATATAAAGTTTAATTTGCACATTAAAGTTTTAATATTACTTCAAATATGTTATGGTCGTCGTTGTGAGATGATTATCATTATTAGAAATAGATTTTTTTTTTGTGAATCATTAAAAACAATTATATTATAAATATTTTTTTACACTTCATTTTTATTGAATCAACTCATTAGATAAATACATGATTAAAAGAAGATTTTCTTTAAAATTTGAAGATATGTGCAATGAACATATTTTCTTTTTTTATCGATTCAATCAAAACTTATGAAAATTAGTACAAAATATTTTTGAGTGGATAACTTCAATGAGAAAATAATAATTTTTTTAGTCTTATCTTACTCTCATTATTTCCCTTACGCATAATTTTATTTGTTTTATTATCCTTTTTTTAATCTTTTTCTTTCCATTCTAAGTTTCAACTGAAATAATAAGAAATTTGCCGCAATTAGCTTAAACAGAACACAATACAAACAGAAAGAAAATTTATTGTCCTAGTAACTATGATAAGATTATCAATTAGAGTAATTTTGTCAGAGAGTAGTTTACACTTCAATGGAAACAATATTATTTATATCGTAGTAGAAAAAAAATTTA